CTGGTCACCAATCTCAAGTAACAAAGCATTTAAAATTAATTATTTAAAAACAATTGTCTTTACATCAATGATTGATCCTGTAAAATCCAATCGATTTCTTACAAAAGACTGGTCAAATGCACATTTTATATAATCTTTTAGTGAAACATTACACCCTTGAAAATAATAATACGAAATAAAGTTATATTCATGATAGTAAAAAATCCTACTTATGACCTCCACAGAATGCGAAGTAGAATGTACATTCACTGACAAAGAAATAATATAAAATTGCCTGTAAATACCGACATACGAAGCAATCCAGAGGCACTCACAACGTGAAACATAAGGTACTAAGAAGGTAGGAAATATGCGAACTGTAGTGGACCTGTAACGCTACTTGGGAACCCGGGATCAGTCGCACTGCGCTGCTCCACTTTTTCTGCGGCTGCCAAGCCTTGCAGTCGTGCGTGCTCGCAATCTACCCCAGACGCTCTCGTTCAGTCTGCCGTGAATGCCACCCACGCTGTCCGTTAATCAGTCTGCACCATTGCTCGATTGGCTGCAGGACCAAAGCGTGTTCTTGGCTTCCGGGCATCCCGCGCGCTCACTTTACTTCCGACGCTGCCATTTGGCCCGTGGTTGCGCGCTACCTCGACAGTCAATTTCCTTCTACCTGTTCTCCACTTCTTGTGCACAGAATAAACTGATCTTACCACTCTGGTCTTTCATTTCTTCTCTTCTCCTAAGGAACCAGGTCTCAAGATTGCTGCAGCTAGGGCTTTCTTTATTAACTCAAGCCCCAGCGACAAAACTATCTGACAGTTCGATCTTCGATTTCGACCTTGTCCGCCACCGGCTTCGGCAATCTGAAGGCAAAACCGGTGACTCGTGGTGGATTATAGTGGTAGTAGACTCGCGTAGAATCTATCTCACTCTCTTCCCACACCTGTACCAGATGTCAAAAAAAATTCAACAAGACCGGAGATATGGGAGGGCGCAGGTGGCTGGAGCGACCGCCCCTCCAATGCGCGGGTTTTCATGAATACGCATGTGATCTAATAGACCCAAGCGATGCATGAATGTGTGTGGACAATGAGGGCAGTGACAGCGGGTGCTGCGACTTTATGTCGGGGCCCCAGACACTGGTTCCCCAGTCTCTGGGTGATAGATTCGCAAGAGACCGACCAGGCCGATACGTGATGTGAATGTGCGATTGCAGTGAGGGCAGGTGAGTGTTGGCGTTACAGAGCTGGTGTTAGTGGAGTTGATGGTGGTCATGCCGGTTGAATGGATGGACTAAGGCTGGCGATGGGTGTGTAGGGTGTGCGTGGTAGACGACATCGCGGTAAATTCCGCTGTCGTGTATGTCCAGGTGACTTATTTGGTCCATGCGATGAATGAATGCGCGAGGGCCAAGAAGGCGGCGGTTTCTGTCGTGCGTTTGTGCTCCAGGCACTGGTTCTTCAGTCTCTGTGCGGTGGATTCGCAAGTGACCGGCCAGACCGATGTGTAAGGTGAATGTGCAATTGCAGTGGGGGTACATTAGGCTGGAGCTCCCAGTGCTGATGGAGAGGCCAGATGTGGTGCGTTGACAGCGTGGACAGGTTGGAAGAGCTTGAGCATTGGCAACCTTCGTCCGTTGGGGGTGGGACTTGCCGGCCGTCCTTTTAACTTTGGCGGCCGCGATCCCACTGGCTTCGTAGGTAGCTGGGCCAGTTTTTACTGTTTTTCGCCCAGCGGGTCGGTCCTGCGCGAGTTCCTCCTAGTTCGCCGTGTTGACTGAAGACGCTTCAAGGAGTTCTTCAGTGCCCTTGTAACGTCTTTATGTCCTCCTTTGCGGTGAGCACCCACGGCGACATCGCCATAAAACAGTCGCTTGGGTAATCATTGGTCGTCCACCCGTACCAGATGGCCGTTCCAGCGCAGTTGTATCTGCCTCAGCGTGGCTGGATGTTGAGAATTCCCGTCCTCTCTAGGATTTCCGTATCTAGGATCCTGTCCTGCCGTCTCAAATTCAGTATTCGGCGGAGACAATTGAGGTATAAATGGTTTAGCTTTCTAGCTTGGTTGGCGTAGACGGTCCAAGTCTCCGCTCCAGGCAAAAGTGTAGTGAGGACGACGGCTATGTACAGCTTGAGTTTCTTGGACAGCTGGTGGCCATGACGGTTCCACCTGGAAGCTTGAAGCCGGCCGAAGGCTCGGCTGGCTTTTGAGGCCCGGCGAGCTACTTCATCGTCGATTCTGGTGTTGAAAGATAGCGTGCTACCAAGATAGTCGAAGTTGTCCTTATGTTTGAGCTCGGCACCGTTGATATTAAACCATGGAGCATTGTAATAAAAACCGGGCGGCAATTACTGCATGACCACCGTTTTTTCTATGTTTGTGGTGAGACCGAAATTTGCACAACCGGTGGCGAAGAGTTGTATACTCATTGGCATGTTCGTTTCTGTTGTGGTGTTGTGAGCACAGTCGACCGCGGAAAACAGGTTATGAAGAGACGCGCGTGGGACCTGCATAAGTAGGATGTTAAAGACATGCCCGTCCATAGTGTAGTTGATGCGGATCCCGGGATGCTAGTCACGGTAGGCATCCATCATCATGGCGAAGGGCACGAGAGCGAAGAGGATAGGCACAAGGAGACAGCCCTGCTTAGTTCCATTGGTCGCAGCGAAGTCTTCGGAGACCGCCCCGTTGCCCGTGACACGCGCCATCATCCCGTCGTGGAGCTGACGTGCCATGTGAATGAAGTGCTCAGAACAGCCGAAGTTCTGCATGGCTTTCCACAGTCCGATGCGGTTCGCCATGTATAATACTTACTTCAGATCCACGAAGGTAGTGTAAAGGTGTGTGCGCATTTCCTGGCGCTTCTCCTGCGACTGTCGTGCTGCGAACATAATTTCGGTGGTGTCATAATGACGACGAAAACTACACTGGCTTTCTGGAACGAGCCTTTGTTCCAGGTCGTTGTTGAGACGGTTTGGAAGAACACGGGCAAAGATTTCTCTGGCGATATTGGGCAGTGAAATTCCACGATGATTGTCACAGAGTTGGTGGTTGCGCTTTCGCTTGTAGAGGTGCACAAGTTGGGTGTCGTTGAAGTCCTGAGGGAATTGGCCCTGTCACCACATCTCCTGGAAGAGTATGGTTAGGTGAGGCATAAGTTGGAAGCCACCGTATTTGCAAACCACCTAGTAGCCACTAGTCTTACAATTCTAAAAACTGCATCTTCGAACTACCATCTGAAGTGGACTACCCCAATTTCTCTCGAAGGAAATGTGTGAGTGCAAAAACACCAGAAGCTGTGTTTGATTAAGCAAGGACGGGGAGTCAATCGGTAGCCAGCATGCTGGTACATTGAGCGTAAAAGGTAAAAACCCGGCTTTTTCCCGTCCATTAAATGTTACCAGCCCGGTTTATTTAGTTGGTGGTGGATTCGATCAACACACCTCTCCGCATGTGTGAAATGAAGAACACTACCCTCCCCCCTTTCCCCTGTAAATTTTGCCTGCTTTCTTTGACGGTTAATTGGCACCTTCCCCCTGTACATTTTGCCTGCTTTCTTTGACGGTTAATTGGTCCCTTTCCCCCTGTAAAGTTTGCTTGCTTTAGTTGACGGTTTTATCTCTGACGATGGACTCCCGCAAGCGTTCGAAAGCTCAGACAAATAAAACTACGATTCCGGTGATCTAAACTACTTCTTCCCAACTACTTGGCTTATTTTATAACCTACCTGATTTAAATGACATAGGGATTATATAATCGTATCGGCTTGATGATAATTCGTCAAAAGCAAATGTCCGCCCTTCTAGATGTCTTACGAATACTTCTATGAGAAGTTTCAGAGCACTATTGAGAAGAAGAAAACTCTATCGCTGGGACATTACGTTTATTCGCCTGACGCTTCGACATCCGTCGCGGATTCATCATCAGAGACATGAGCAGGAAACAGTAGCAGTAGCACTATTATTTGACACGCTCACGAGTCATGTACCACACTCTTAAACCAGTCCTTTATTCTTGAAATCATGCATGGTGATTTGCGTGACACACGAAATGTATATAGACTAAAGACAAAATTTTAATACGTCGGAAACCGGCCCACTTGCATTAACTAAAAGTTCAATAAAAAAGAAACGGCCTTCGTTTAAATAAAAACGCAAAAACTTATTCAAAGTAATATTATGCTTGCCAGAGAGCACAATTGTTTTTGTAAACTGGAAGTGCGAAAAGGACAAAGCTTCATGTCAAACACCTAAACTCAATTTCTAGAAGTTTTTTAAAGTCTGCCCACGCAAACAATGGAGTGTATAAAAATCTGAAAATTCAAAACTGGTGTAGCAGCCAGAAGGAACACAGGGAATGCTGGGCGCCCACTGGTGAGCCGGGCTCTTCGTACTTGTGTCAAGCAGCGAAATAATACTAAAAGTTAGTGCCTGTACTGCCAGTATGGTAAATAAATACGCAAGTTATATAAAACAACACAAGCTCAAAAGTTCACCAATTGTCTTTTTCTACCATCTGCACTTAAATATATCTCATGAGGTAGTGTAGAATCCGACATTACTGGTATCCAAACGCTTGTGCTTTATAATGTGTTACAAATTGGCAACAAGAGAATTCGGTGTACTTTTGGTCGTGTTGCCTTGTTCAAGATGCGGATGCCAAAGGCAAATAGGATTTTGCGTGTGTTAGTATTCGTTTCAGAAATGAAGTCTTCACATAGCCACATTCTGAGAGGCCGGCTAGTGGCAAAGAAATCAGAATAGAAGTAACGGATGTAAGCTAAAATATGCTATTTTCAATGCATCGAGAGAATTTTTCATGCTACAAATTGCTGAATGGTGTTTGCGAAGATGAAGCCCACCGAGTTTTATAGACTTCTTGAAATCTTATTGCAAGCTCTTAAGTCTTGAGTGTTCTCAATCGATTGTTCAAAAAGCTAAGTTTGTTTTTAGCAAAACATTCAAAGCAGAGTAAATTGGGAAAGCATGTGTGCAGTGTTCTCTGGCGTTCTCTTTCACGCAGATGACGATTGGAGGAATATTTATACTTACCCAATCAGGAAACCGTCGTCGAAGCAGGTACAGATCCATAACTAAGGCCGCTGGTACATATGCTCTTGAACAGTTAAAGCCTTTTTAGGGGTCGAAGCCGTGGGTGTGTTCAGCGCGCTACAATTATCACGCCCAGTTCCGGATGGGAAGAGAGGGGGGTAAGACCAGCAGTTGTTTATTGCATACGGAAACTCAGTGGTGGTCTGAAGCCCCGACGCGCGGCAGGCCCGGTGCCTGCGTGCACCTCTGCCTGCTAGCTTGATGTGTGTGTGAATACGTAAAGTTCATGCGAGAATCACTGGCCGCCTGGTCAGCTGCCTGGCAAATAGCAGTCTATGGCACCTGTGATTGGCTGTGCCAGAGACAGACCAAGAACTGCAGCATGTGTATATGACGCAGTGGTTAACGGGTTTCAGCCCAAATATAT